CTGCTGTGATGAGAGGGCTGACTTTTCCCAGTTTCCCAGTGCTTCCCAGTCACCCTGGTCTGTAACTCTGGTCTGTAACTCTGGTCTGTCAGTCACAGCGTCCACAGACCTTTGTCCTGGAGTCTGGACAGACAGGACGTTCAGTTTCCGTCTCCGTGAGACCACAGATTAATAACCCACAGAGCCGCGGTCAGTGGCTGGGACTGGAACCGATACCTGTGCGTCTGTGGCAGTACTGACACTGAGACACTTTTACAGGAGCTTTTTATTTCCTCGACACTTTATGTAAAAGACCATCAAACTGAAGTATAAAATACTGTCCAGTGATTGGAGGTCAGCTGCAGCTGCTGGCTGTAAAACATGGCGTTCCTGAGAACTCACAGAAAGAGTCACAAAATGTTGCACATCCTGGTGGTTTCTGGGAAGTACGGTCTGCCGCCAGCGAGCCGACTGTCTTCTGGCAACTTGGGGATTCCGTCCAGCAACTCCAGTTTTGGCAAACAGGAGAAAACACTGCACAGACAGAAACATTCAGAAATGAGAGGTTTGTGAAAAGATCCTCGCGCTCCTGGGAGTCTGCGCTCACCGGGCTCGGTAGTCCTGGGTGAAGGTCACGGGGTTGCGGCTCAGGTTGAGGGAGCACAGTGGGCTGTTCTCCAGAGCCCCCAGTCCCACCAGTGAGTGGACGGCGTTGTCAGACAGACACAGGTGCTCCACCGCCGGGAGGTTTGGCAGCTGACGTAGGCACACCAGGTGGTTACGGTGTAGGTTCAACTCCCTACACCTGTCCATGAGCACACAGGAGTCACACAGTACTGAGCTCTGATTGGTTGATCAGGATTTTAACAGACTTTAACTATGGCTCCATCTCCCTAACAGAGGTTTCTGTTCTAATCATCATCATTTTTCTCTTCAGTTTTCAGGTTCACCGTTCACTTTGGATTTCTTCTAGAACAAACCCAGTGAGTGAAACTGGACCAATGACTGAGGGCGGAACATTTCTAACATTATTTTATGAACAGATGATCAAACACGGGTCGTACCTTGGCAGACGGACAGAACTCAGGTTTGTGAGGGAATTGTCGACCAGTTGTAGTTTCTCCACACGGATCAGTCTCCTCAGGATCCGCAGGAAGTTCTCCTTCTGGAACGGGTCCCCCAAGTCCTGGTAGGACAGATTCAACTCCTGACAACAGACCAAACGGTCAGAGGTTGAACCTTGACCCTTGACCCAAACCAGCCGAGACTTTAACCTAAGCCTAACCCCAAAACCAGATTTATACAGAAGTTCAGCATGAGCTCCGACACACACACACACACACACACCTGACAGTTTTCCCAGTTTTCCTGCAGCCGTTCCTCCCATCTCTGTTCCTCCCCCTCTCTCCTCCTCCTCCCCCCTGGGACGTGGTGGTCCTCTCCTCCAAAGAGCTCCTCCTCTGACGGTCCTGTTGATCGGATTGTTGAATAAACATCATTAATCATTAACTAATTACATTTTTAGGTCTCAGACTCCAACATTAAAAACACACACACCTTCTCTGACCCTGGGGCAGGTCAGCTGGTCACCTGTGATGTCACACTGCTCCAGGTGATGCCACGACACAAACTGGAACTGTCTGGACGGAAGCTGTGGAAAAAAGAAATGGATGATCAGCCACGAACATTCAAAGACTTATTTAGAAACTTCTGGAAATTCAAGGATCGATTTGTCATCGGATGAACAACGGAGACTAAACATTAGCGTCGACGATGTTAAGGTGAGGGAGACACAACCACGGACTTCAGCTGGAAGTAAAGGTAAGGCTAACTATGGTTTTAAATTTTTTTAAATAAGATGGGAGTAAGTCGAAAACAATATTTGATACGTTTTGGCCTTAAATATTTTATTTCTTCTCATTTTGATGGACAACTTTCGATTAAAGCAGCAGAATTTAAAGTTTAAAAAAGAACTGTATTTTTCCTGAAGGTCCAAATTAATTAAATTTAAATTTAATTTTGTGCTGCTCTCATCTCTAGACTTGAATTTGTTTACAGTAAATATGAATTTCTTAGACACAGGAAGGTGTTCTGTCCATTTGTATAAAGAATCGTTCTTTGTAGAACAAATGTGTTCCTGTGAATGAAGAAAGAGCAGAGAAACGTCAGCAGAGAAAGCAGGCAGTACTACGCCTCACCACAAGGCGTCGTACGTGAACTGACAGTTCTCTCCAACTGACTTCAACGACTAATTAAAAGTAGGCGCCAAACCAGAGGCAGTAGTCGGTGAAGAACGGCGGTTTTTATGCCGTATTTAAATTTAATTTTGTGCTGCTCTCATCTCTAGACTTGAATTTGTTTACAGAAAATATGAATTTCTTAGACACAGGAAGGTGTTCTGTCCATTTGTATAAAGAATCGTTCTTTGTAGAACAAATGTGTTCCTGTGAATGTGTTGGTGTTGGTGTGACACTGAAAGGCTTTGAACATTGACGGTTTTAATGGAGGTTCAGTCGTGACGATGGCTCACAGTCTGAGTGTGAAATGGGTCGGGGGTGTGAGGGGGGGTCAGGGTTCACAGTCTGTGACGGCTTTTCACCATAACTAGCAGTTTAGCGGTCAACGATGTTTTTACCGCAGACAAAGAGACGAACGGTAACATTTGTAACATTTGTCCCGTTTGGAGAATTTGAGAAAACACCTGACGCCGTGTCCGTCAGGTTAGAGGCCGAACGATGACGTCAGCAGCCACACAAATGAAAGGACCTGTGTGGGTTTGTCCTGATGGTTGAACGTGTCTCTAAATGGGTCGGCGCCGTCGCTTCCTGTTTATTTTTTTTTGTTTTGCCCCCCCTCACCTCCACCTGAGGCGTGTGTGCCATCATTTCATCTTTCTGACCAGGAGTTTGCTGAACAAATTTGATACCAGTGCCACCTACTGGTTTAAGTTTTTGACTGACGTGATTTCTGCCCTTCAACCTTGGACACTGACAAGATGTTTCTCTGAAAAACTCTCTCGTCTTTATTCATATAATTAATAAAAACCAGACTTTTCTACTTTTTTTTTTTTTTTTTACTCACCTTCTTTTTTCGTCCCACTCTTCAAACTGAGACAGTTACAACAGTGACCTTTTCACCCCCGACACAAACGTCCGGTCAACCCTCACCTGCTGTGTATGTAATTCTACCCCCACTCCTGTGACACCAGGATGACCCCACTGATCCACCTGACCACTGATCCCCAGAGGCTGGACTCAGAGAACAGTCGTCATGGCAACAGTGCCGTTGATACACTGAGCAAAAACATGAAAAATCCCTGAAGAAAAAAAGTTTATCATCAAAGAAAGAAACAACTCTGTCCTAAAAACGGAGCCGTGATCAGAAGGTGTATTTTTCTGTGGAATCACGAGCGTTTTCCTGAGCAGCAGAAGAAAAGTCTGGATCAGAGTGAAG